ACAAAACCAGCTTCGGCCACAGACACGCGTGGGGTTTTCCCCTCTTAATATTAATAGTACAGGGTTTTTTTTTAAAAAAGTCAAATGAGATCTCTATTTTTAAAAAAATATTTCTGCTTTCGGATTGTTATCCAAGGAAAGAAAGAGAGGAGGAATAGAGGAAGAAGGGGTTTTCCACGCGAGTTCTTTTCCCCCTCCTTAGTACCTTTTTTAAAAAAAGTCAAATGAGACCTTATTTTTTTTTTAAAAAAAAAATATGTTTCTGCTTTCGGATTGTTATCCAAGGAAGGAAAGAGAGGAGGAATAGAGGAAGAGGGAGCTTTCCACGCGAGTTTTTTTGTTTTGCGTGAGGTTTAAAAAAGTCTATTCCTTTGCATGTTTCCCTTTCCCCCTTCCACTCTTTCTTTCCCTTCTTCTTTTCTCTTCTTTTGACCCCCGGATTGAGAATCAAAACAAACCCAACTTTGGTCACAGACGCGCGTGGGTTTTTCCCCGACTCTGCTTCGAAATTTCAATGGACTGGCTCATACTTTTTTCCATTACTTCTGCTCTTTTCTCTGCCTTTGTGGCTTTTTAAATCAAGGCAGTGAATTCTCCTCTTTCTTTGGGTGTTTGTCACTGTTTTTCCAAGAAGGGAATAATGCGCTTTGGCCCGAAAATAACCCGACAAATAAAATAACCCGCGTTTCCTTCCAAACCCTCGTTCCCAGCTTTCCCTCCCATATTTTCCTATCACCCCCCTTTCCTATCTAACACTCAAAGCAATGCTTCTATTTTCACTCATGGTTCCATCTCTCATTTCACTATTATTATTATTATTATTATTATTATTATTATTATTATTATTATTATTATTTAATACCCTTTCCTTTGGAGCCATAAACACAAGGCAGGCGGCTCAATTTGTGTCTGAATTGGGTCCTTGATTCCCATTGTTTGGTGGAAAATCCTATACTATTTCCTACCCTCCGGCCCCACATTCTGATTGGCTCACTTCTTGCCCCCAAGCTTTCTTTGATTGCCTAATAAACAAGTCTATTTCCAGGAAAAACATAGTTTGAGAGATAGGGAGGAAATGGGATCAGAACGAAAAAGTTACACCGAAAAGTTTGGCAGAAGGAAGGGAAAGGGAATGGGAAAGCCATCTTACACCCCCATGTCTGTTTGCAAGCATGGAGACACTGCTAATTTTAATTTATTATTATTATTATTATTATTATTATTATTATTATTATTATTATTATTATTACAAGCTAGAAGTTGCAAGTAGGACCAAAAAGTTTGGCAAAAGGAAGTTAAATAGTATGGGAAAGCCATCTTACACCTCTATGTCTGTTTGTAAGCATGAAACCACTGCTTATTATTATTATTATTATTATTATTATTATTATTATTATTATTAATTTAATATTATTATTATTATTATTACTATTACTACAACCTAGAAGTTGCAAGTAAGACCGAAAAGTTTGGCAGAAGGAAGTGAAAGAGTATGGGAAAGCCATCTTACACTCCCATGTCTGTTTTCAAGCATGGAACCACCACCACTAATAATAATAATAATAATAATAATAATAATAATAATAATAATAATAATAATTACTACAACCTAGAAGTTGCAAGTAGGACCAAAAAGTTTGATAGAAGGAAGTGAAAGGGAATGGGAAAGCCATCTTACACCCCCATGTCTGTTTGCAAGCATGGAGCCATAGCTAATTTTAAATTATTATTATTATTATTATTATTATTATTATTATTATTATTACAAGCTAAAAGTTGCAAGTCGGACCAAAAAGTTTGACAAAAGGACATTAAATAGTATGGGAAAGCCATCTCACGCCTCTATGTCTGTTTGCAATAATTATTTATTATTGTTATTACTATTATTATTAGTAGCATCAGTATCAGTATTAGTATTAGTATTATTACTACAACTTGGAAGTTACAAATAGGACCGAAAATGTGATAGAAGGAAGTGAAAGGGAATGGGAAAGCCATCTTACACCCTCATGTCTGCTTTCAAGCATGGAGCCACCGCTAATATTGTTGTTGTTGTTGTTGTTGTTATTATTATTATTAATATTATTATTATAAGCTAGAAGTTGCAAGTAGGGCCGAAAAGTTTGGCAGAAGGAAGTGAAAGACTATGGGAAAGCCATCTTACACTTCCATGTCTGTTTGCAAGCATGGAGTGGAGCCATAGCTAATTTTAAATTATTATTATTATTATTATTATTATTATTATTATTATTATTATTATTATTATTACTACAAGCCAAAAGGTGCAAGTAGGACCAAAAAGTTTGATAGAAGGAAGTGAAAGAGTATGGGAAAGCCATCTCACACTCCCATGTCTGTTTTCAAGTATGGAGCCATAGCTAATTTTAAATTATTATTATTATTATTATTATTATTATTATTATTATTATTAGTAGTAGTAGTAGTAGTAGTAGTAGTATCAGTATCAGTATCAGTATCAGTATTGGTATTATTACTACAACTTGGAAGTTGCAACTAGGACCAAAAAGTTTGGCAGAAGGAAGTGAAAGGGAATGGGAAAGCCATTTTACACCCTCATGTCTGTTTTCAAGCATGGAGCCACTGCTAATTTTAATTTATTATTATTATTAGTATTAGTATTAGTATTAGTATTATTACTATAACCTAGAAGTTGCAAGTTGGACCGAAAAGTTTGGCAGAAGGAAGTGAAAAGGAAGGGAAAGCCATCTTACACCTCCATGTCTGTTTGCAAGCATGGAGCTTTAAATTATTATTATTATTATTATTATTATTATTATTATTATTATTATTACTACTACTACTACTACTACTACAAGCTAGAAGTTGCAAGTAGGACTGAAAAGTTTGATAGAAGGAAGTGAAAGAGTATGCCATCTAACACTCCCCACCCCCATTTCTGTTTTCAAGTATGGAGCAATCACTAATTTTAATATATTATTAGTATTATTATTATTAGTATTATGATTAGTAGTATTACTACAACCTAAAAGTTGCAAGTAGGATCTAAAAGTTTGGCAGCAGGAAGTGAAAGGGAATGGGAAAACCATCTTACACTCCCCACCCCCATTTCTGTTTTCAACTTTTAATATACAATATTATTAGTATTATTAGTATTAGTACTACAACCTAGAAGTTACAAGTAGGATCTAAAAGTTTGGCAGCAGGAAGTGAAAGGGAGTGGGAAAGTCCTTTTACACTCCCCCCCCCCCATTTCTGTTTTCAAACATGGAGCACTTGCTAATTTTAATATATTAGTATTATTATTAGTATTATTACGACAACCTTGCTATGGTATTGTGGGGTGAGAAAGGCTTTTAAATCCCTCCCCAAGCAATGCTCCTGTTTTCTAATATGGATCTGCCTCTAATTTTAATAATAATAATAATAATAATAATAATATGCTGGCTTTCCTATCGCAAAATGACAACACTTCTAATAGTTTTTCAGGCTGTATGGCTATGTTCCAGAAGCATTTTCTCCTGACGTTTTGCCCACATCTATGGCAGGCATTCCACAGATATATAAACCTCACTTACTTAGTTTCCAACAGACCCCTCAATCTCAGAGGATGCCTGCCATAATGTGGGTGAAACGTCAGGAGAAAATGCTTCTGGAACATGGCCAGAAAACTCACAGCAACTCAGTGATTCCAGCCATGAAAGCCTTTGACTACACGTCAAGCTACTACTTTGCCTGTTATTATTATGACTGCTGTGATGGTGGGGAATAGGGAATCTATCTAACACTCCCCTCAAAGCAATGTTCCTGTTTTCAATCATGGTTCCATCTTTCATTTCAATACTATTACTACTACTACTACTACTACTACTAGTTACTACCTTGCTTGCTATTACTATGACCACTGTGATGGTGCGGAAAGGGGAATCCATCTAACACTTTTCTCAAAGAAATGTTCCTGTTTTCAATCATGGCTCCACCTCTCATTTCAATACTAATACTACCACTACTACTACTAATAATAGTAACAGTAGCTACTACCATGCTTGCTATTACTATGACCACTGTGATGGTGAGGAAAAGGGAATCTATCTAACACTTTTCTCAAAGAAACGTTCCTGTTTTCAATCATGGTTCCATCTCTCATTTCAATACTACTACTACTAGTAATAGCTATTGCCTTACTTGCTATTAGTCAGACTGTTGTGATGGTAAGGAATGCGGAATCCATCTAACACTCTTTTCAAAGAAACGTTCCTGTTTTCAGTCATGGTTCCACCTCTCATTTCAATACTACTACTACTACTACTACTACTACTACTATTACTACTAGCTATTACCTTACTTGCTATCACTCAGATGTTATGATGGTGAGGAATACAGAATCCATCTAACACTCTTCTCAAAGAAATGTTTCTGTTTTCAATCATGGTTCCACCTCTCATTTCAATACTACTACTACTACTACTAGCTATTACCTTACTTGCTATTACTCAGACTGTTGTGATGGCGAGAAATGGGGAATCCATCTAACACTCTTCTCAAAGAAATGTTCCTTTTTCAGTCACGGATCAATCTCTCATTTCAATACTAATAATACTAGTAGTAGCTACTACCTTGCTTGCTTACTACGTATGACTGCTGTGATGGTGTGGGATGGGGAAGCCATCTAACACACCCTGCAAACCAAGGTTCCTTTTGTCAATCATGGAGCTTTTCTCTAATTTCAATACCAATAATACTAATTTCAATACCAATAATACTGATATTAATACTAATAAAGCTAATAATAATAGCTAGCTACTACTTTGCTTGCTATTACTATGCCTGCTGCGTTGTTAGGGACTAAGGAAGCCATTCAGTACAACTCCCAATGCAATGTTCCTGTTTTCAATCATGGACCAATTTCTAATTTCAATACTACTATATTATATTATATTATGGATATTATATTATATTAATATTATATTATGGATATTCCCTGGCCTGTTGTAACTACGGCTTGCTTTTGTCGCTTCCAG